TGAACTTTGTGATATTTTATTATGTGAATCTTTTTAAATTCACACCACATTTCTCACTGCATGCATGCAGCTTTTTCTCTGCCACTCTCTAATTCCATCTGGACAGTTATACTTGTGTTGTACTGCCCCACTACGACTTCAGCTAATGCCAGAGTGTCTCTGTAGGCAAGGAGTACTTGGGGGCAACATGGGCAACTACCCATGGCTGGCAGACTCTTGGCCCACCACCAACTTGGTTCACAATGGCAAAGAGGCCGTCAACTGCTGCCCGGCCAATCCCGACACAGCTGAGAGATACTACAACGGTAGGAGTGTCTGTTTTTGTGAAGCTGTGCTTACAACAACAGGAGCTTTGCTAAATCCTACCTCCGTCCCTGTGTAGAAGCTGGCATCTCCAACTACCTGAATCAGACTGAGAAGTACAGCATGGGAGGCTCCACCGAAGGTCCCATCTACAGCACGATTGACGCCACCAGCGAGGACCTGCACAGTTTCACCTACGCCCAGCACAACTCCACCACTCCTTACGCTTCCACCTCCATCATGCCTTTCACCAACCAGACACAAGTTCCACCCCACGGCGGTGAGCAGCAAGACGACGGCCACTGGATTACCCAGCCCGGTCCATCTGGAGCTCAGTACGCCCAGCTGGACCGCTGCAGTGGTGAGGAAGGATTTCAGTTCTGTGAATTTGAAATACACATCTCTGTCTCCTGTTGCTTTGATTACTTAGAGGAAATAAGAAAGAAACAGTGAAATGTAAACCCAAAATGTGCCAAAAATATGGCTTTAGATTCTAGTGTTTCCTTACTTTCCTTCCTTACCTTCCTTCCTTTTACATGGATATTTTGTCATCATTTATTGATATGAAATCAGCTCCAGCTTCTCGTTCCCCCGGATAAGCTGGAGGAGGTGGCTGGGGAGAGGGAGGTCTGGGCTTCTCTGCTTAGGCTGCTGCCGCCACAACCCGGCCACGGATAAAGTGAATGAAGATGGATGGATTATTGATATTAGATTTGAAACAGTCTGCATCTGCCTTCAGAATCGCTTCAGATTTTAGATTGTTCTGCTTTTCTAATGAAAAATACCAATCAGAAAATAGTGTTTTTGTCCTTTGTGGGCTATGTAAAAGCTTGTTTGTGGACTTGAATACAGAGAGGCAGGAGCAAATTGAAAATGAGCATTTAATTCTGAAAGTCCAAAATACACAGAACCAAGGTGAGCAGGGGAATCAAAAGCTAACAGGGTACACACAGCTGTGAAGGATGAGGGACAAGGCAACAAAAAACAGAGGAAGACAGAAACAACACACACACTCACAGAATAACAAGGGGAGAGATAACAGGTGGGATGCAACAACAGACATAACGAGATGACGAAGAAAACTTGAGACACGGAGAACAACCATTACCAACGTGAAACAGGAAGACACATCCAAATGGGGATGAAGCTGACTCTGGGCAAGACAGCAGGAGTGGACTTGGGTAACAATGAAAGACAAAGGAACACAAAAACAAGACCGAAAGAGAGCAATCGTTCTATCTGCAAACGTGATAGATCGAAAAGTTTTCAATGAATGCTGATAAAAAATTGTAGGGGGGTACAGTGGCCTTGTGCTAACAATCCATGAAAAATTGCCTTACGTCCACCAATGGTCCATCACGGTCAACTTTATTTATCTGTTTATTTGGATATATTGGTTGAAAATTGACAAAAAGCATGTAGTGATGTCACTTTTACATTTCACACCTGCCTTTCTTGCAAACTTCATAAGAAAACAAAATGAAAATGTACAAAATACAAAACTACTCCCTTAGAGAGTGAGCTGAGGTTTGTGCTCTCCTTGTTTTTAATATTTATTCGTGGAAGCAGTTTGGCCAACATGCACTCAGTCGTGCTACAAATCCCACTTTGCTGCCTCCGTGTTGCTATTTGTGAGCCACAGGCC